ATAATAATCGTAATATGAAGAATTGGTCAGTACTGGGCTACATCAGTTGTTGATCAATTATTTAACTATCCGGATCCTGCTAGTAGGCAGGTACAATAGATTAAATGGCATATCACTGCCAGAACCTAACACCACTAGCCATATGCAAATGCATCAACTCCAACGGGAACACATTTTTTGACAGCAAAAAATATGCACCCACTAAATGTGCAAGCAAATAAACATCTTAAACATTACAAAAAAAGTAGAAAAAAGGTAACTAAAGCCTGAGCCCAGTAAGAACCAAACAACAGGCTTAAAAAAAAAATATGAGAAAGGTTTACATAGAAAAAAAAAATGCAATGTTTACCAGTTACATACAGTAAATTTAAAATAGCAAGAAAGAAAAATTGGACTTTTAGGCAAGATAGTTGTATGTGTTATTCACTCTGAAAATGTAGGCGATATGTACTTTGAACATTCTTTGGACAGTTTAGATTTAATGTTCAAATTAATATAGTATGAAAGATTAAGACATAGATTCTACTATGAAGTGTCAAAAAATTGTATGCCATAACTTTAAACGTTCAAATCTCAGCATGACAAATAGCACCAAATTGGGGAAAATTGGGGGGAGGGGAGTGGGGGCACGCAGTATGTGAGAATGTCAAAACATAAAAACAATCTAGGACAACCAGCATAATCATTCATTAAGTACATGATGTATGATTGTACCAAATTGCTTCCAAACAAAACCAAACCAAAAACAAATTAAGACAACAATTCAACAATTTTAAGAATAAATCACTCTAACAATAAGGAATTAATAGTAGGTATTTCAGTTAAGGGAGGATAAATGTAAAACAATTAGAAGCCCAAGCTTAAAACTGGACGCATTGTTGGGGACAAATAGGAGAGAGGGAGTATTTATGGAGTATTTACATTTAAAGTAATATTTAATTCCACCAACACACACTGAACTATCTAAATTGATGCAATGAAAACAAACATCACGAAAGGGGTAAGATTTTACCTCAACCTGGACACCTGCATCACCAGATCTCAGTGCTCAAGCTGCTTTGTTTTCCACTTCTCCTCAGCAACTAAAACAAATTTATATGAACATGGTGATACCAAAGTTAGATGACAAAAGTAATTATCTTTAAAGCTCAAGAATGGATAGCGATATATTTAAGTCCTTAACCAGTTGCTAGTTTTAGAAGTCAAGTCAACTCTAGCAGAAAATCAAAAGTACTTCAACCTCTATTCAAAACAGAACTACAAGTCATCTGAGATGGTATTTCCTATTGCTCCCTATTACTCTGACTAGAATATAAGAACCCTGTGAACGTCAATGAATTAGAGGAAACAGATCTCTTGTCAAATTTTTATATATAATGATATAGGTATAGGCAGTAGAAGATTTTAGAGTAGACAGTGACAGTCATTAAGTGGACACCAAATAGGAGGATAGTGAGATTCTTGTTAATACCAACAGATACGCAAGAAGTTACATGCGTTGGCTGACATATTTGATATACCTAGTATTTAATGGAGCATCACTGACTCAAACAAGCAGAACTTAAAACATTTGGTAAGGAGGTTTTGCTCCCAGAAGAACACTTAAGCCACATAATAGATCAGACTGTATTAAAAAGTACCGTAGTAAAAATTCGGGATTGGTCCACTTCCAAATTTTGGCTAGGGCAACACTTGAATGTGGATATTATTTTAAATTTAGAACAAAATTTTATAGTTTTGTATTTATGCAATACAACCATCTTCAAGTTAATGTGTGTGGTCTAAGAAGTCAAGAGAGCTGCTAAGTTGCTAAATCCACAGGTACATCAAACCATGATACTGTATGTGAGAGTCAAACTCCAGTTTAAAACAAGACCGTCACTTATGTAGGAATAGCCAGTAAGTGGAAAATGCCTGTCAGATCTGTAAAGGGGAGGAGGGAGAAAGATACATTTGTGCACAGAAATGGCATTTGAAAAGAACCACTACTATCACAGAAAATTACTGCATCACAACATGAGGTAGAGTTGACAGATTTTACAGTTATAGCTTATCTCAGCAATTTAGTCCATTGAAAAAATTCTCAACACAGCAAAGCTACCAGCAAAACCAAATTAAATAAAGTAGATAAGATAATTTTTCAGGACATCCTCCGAAGCTCACATCAGTTGTGTTTTACAACTTAGTTGGATCATCATTGTTAGTTGAAGTCAATCTTTTTCTTTCCTCCTCCTCTGCTCTCAGTCGCCTTTCTTGTTCCTCTTCTGCTCTCACCATCACAACCAAGTCGAGCTCAGCACCGGTCAACGGTGTATTGAGAACTCTCCTCCAATGCACATCTGCTTCTCCATCTTCTTTAGGGTGTTCATGTTGATCAGAATGTCCATCAGGTGAACAGCTACGAAACAGTTGCCTTGCTCTTGCTGTTTCTTGTCTAATTATTATCTCATTAGTAATATACATTTCACGACGGATCTGATCTCGCAGACTTGCTGACATGTCTGGGATACACCATCTCACCAAAATCATGACAAATACCACCACATTCTAGAAGGAAACAGTTTAATTGTTAGTTAAAGAACATTATTTAATGAAATTTCAAAAGTATGATGCTTACTTCGAATATCACAATAAAGGCCAACCTAGCAGCTAGCACATGCCAAAACATAGATGTCTTCTCATATTTATTCTCACTCCATGGAGGTTCCCTGTACTCTGGATAACTGAAAAAGCAAGAAAAGCACAATTAAGTTACCTACACCAGTATATACCGCTGAACATTTTTTCAACAAGAAAGAAAAGTTGCTTCAAGGTGATCAGTATAGCATAGGATGACGTAGTCTTACCGACATAGAGTTACAGTGAAATTAGATTTCTGCGGAGCAGCACCTTTCTCTAGATCACTGACATTGAAATAGGCCAAGGAGTGGTTCAGGAACCCATTAAGGTTTCTCTCCTCGCTAACAGCAAAGGTATACACCAATCGGGGAATAAAATTTGAGGTGAAAGCAATGATGCAACCCTAAGAAAAAATTAGATGTCATAAGAACACACCAACATAAAGAGAGTTTTGAAATATTTTTGAGAAAATGCTTTAGAGAAGTACATACATTTGTAATGACTGAAAGTTTTCCAATTGAATCCAAAATACGATACCACACACCAATATCTCTAACTCGTTGGCTCACTGGGCGACGATGAAAAGTAAGAAGCTTTTTAGCATCAAACCGCATCTCCAATACATTGTTTAGAAGAGCAAAGAATGGAGCCAAAGGAAAAGCAGCCACAAATATTGTGACAAAACCATACTGTAACACTACAAACACAACATCCAATTCTTAAAAATATCATACCCATAAAAATTAATAGAGTAATTCAGACACAGTAGATAAAACTGAACTAACCCATTTCTAGATATTCAGGAAAAAGTCCTCGAGGACCCCACTCGACTAGCTTGAAATCTTTCATCCACTGCTTAGATCGTTTTGTCGCAGGTGAACCAGGATCCAATCCTGTTTTCACTTTCAGAGTATTCAGCCATTTGAAGAAAAGTCTTTAAATAGATAGAGACACAAAAAAATAAAATAATTGTATCTGAAACCAGGGTTGCGAGGAGGAGGGGGTATTCTCAGAAACACTTACGGGTAAGCCATCTCAAGCAAGGTGTTCATTGCCTGCTTCCCAACCATAATGATGGCCAATTGTATACACAATTCCATAAGGCAGCCACCGGGTCCACACTAAAGAAAATAGGAACAAAACTTAGCAAAACACTGACATTTAATTGTGTGTGAAATATAACAACAATAATTGCAACGCACCTCCTCTTTCCTGAAACCAAAGAGTCTATTATAATTTCCTGGGTACCCCACAAACTTCCCCTTGAAAAATGCAATATAAAAAATGGATGCATAATAGTTAACAAACTGTAGTAGGTATATTTTTAGCGTAAGACTATCATCAAACTCAGTCTGAGTACGAAGTAATTCTACTTCTGTTAGTTTTTCAGCTAGCCATGTATAAACCTGAAAAGAAGTAAATAGGATCAAGTTTGTTCATGACATGACATTGGGTAAGAACAATAATAAAAAAGTATCAGATCACAAGAAAACATACCAAATTAAATACCATGATGCAGCACAAGTTAATAGAGGCAGCAGTAGCAGTTGTGAAAAGTAATGCATATGATGTTATGACTGAATCTCCATAGACACTTAAAGCTGCCAAGAGTGACATACGGTAAAGGACAACTCCAAGAACTGCTACTACAGCCATCGCTATGAGGAGTATCACCACAGAAAAAGAGAGCAAGGTAGCTGGTAACCGCATGGACCAGAAAGGTACATGTGGCTCCATTTCATTTGTGACTACATTAACATGTTTGCGTTTTACATGAGCAAGTCTAGCAAGGTACTGTGGTCTTGGGTGTTCTTCCTGAACATCAAAACCAGTCAGATCCCAGCGATGAGTAATTTCTGCAGAATATCGCTTCCAGAGTTCCAAAAATGTAGCAGCTAAAGAAATGAAAGAAAAAAGTCAAAATCTCTCTTTTAGAATGAACTGTTAGAGAATGTTATCTTTTCTTACCCCAAAATGACATAACTATTGCAAAAAAGACAGTGGTTCCATTGTCAAATAAATAAGTGACTCTTGCATGAAGGCAAGTCTCCTGTAATTCCCAGTAGTCACAGAAGAAATCACAGAGAGGACACATTTTGATGTCCAACTTCTCATTGCAAATATCCTCACTGTAACAAAAAATAAGTACAAAACTGTGTAGTAAAAGTGTATATTGCTATGTAAGAATTTTCAGTGCAGCACACAATAAATCTCTATTATTTAATAAGAGGGTGACCACAAAGTGGTCATTTGCCACTAAAAAGGTTTAAGATATAATTTTGTGTTACGCACCTGGGCTGATTTGAATATAGAGTGAGACAACTGTAAACAAAACACAATAATCCCACAATTGCAGCAGGAAATAGCATGTGGGTGTAGAATCCTAACCATGCAAAATACAGTCCAATTTTGACTCCAAAGTATTCTTTTACATAGTCTAGAGGTTGGTATTGCAGCAATTTCCGCACTGCTGCCCACTCGGTGTACAAAAGGTGACGCATACTACCTGGTCTATGCAGGTCACCCTAAAAGAAATGTAGAAAAAAAATATTATTATCTTCAAAAAACATTCCAGCATAATATCTATCTATTTATCTATCTATCTACTTACATCATGCAAAGGATATGCAGCATTATAAACATCATCTGCTATCAGTCTTTCAATACCAAATGCAAAATCATCTTTAGGATCAGTAGAGAAGCCTTTTCGATCCAATATGAAGTGAATTATTCTTGAGCGAATAGCTGGGGTAAAGAAGTATGGAGAGTCAATGTCAAACCTGTAAAAACACAGAAAGCAAACATGAATTTGTCACATATAAAATGAAAGATTACATACAGCACATGAGCTATTATGTATTACAGCACATATACTCTGTGTGGTATGAGTTATTGTGTACTCACAAGTACTCCTTGTCCCTACTGTACACAGCAGTAAATCTTTGTCCTTTAGGGGGGAAAATTTTTTCATCAACATAGAAACGAGACATGACACGATGAAATAAGGAATTGAAATTTTCTAAAAGGCTATTTGTTTTTGCATGGACTTCTGTCAGAGCTGGTATCTGCAAGGGAAATTACAAAGATTATAAACAACAAATAACCGTATACCATCAAATTAATAAGCAAAGATTTGGTATGTAAAAGCCTGTTTTGAGATGGGAGCTTCTTCTTGAGGAAGCATTCAAATACATACAGAAGGATAATAAGCAGTCACCTATACTATACATATATAAGCATCTAACATGCACATGATGAACAGATGCCAAGAAGAAAACATGATTAAGAGTGTCCATTACTATTTAAAAAAGATAGAAAAAAAGGTTGTTCAGTGATTAATTGATTTTAAATGTCTTCTCCACTGCAAAATTGGATCAAAAAAGTTTAGTTTGAGCGTTTCGATGAACAAAAATTGATGTTAGAATAAATAACTTTCAGTGAGAGGGAAAAGAAATAACACCTTAATTCCAAAATGAGAGGGCACATAACACAGTATTGTTTGAAATATAGGAGAGATTGACAGATCCTTCTCAATCCTTTTAAATTAGTAGTTAGATACAGGAAGTGCTTAAAAGTGTCACAATGCAGTGCTTCCAAACACCAAATATCACACAATGCTATAGAAATACCTTCTGTGCCAAGTACAATGTAGCCCAATGCATGGCACCCTTTTTATCATCTTTGGGGAGGTGGCACAAATCCTGTCATGGGGCAGAAAAATAAAATAAAAATAAAAATAAAAATTAAAAGGGATAAAAAACCAAAATGTGATTTTTAAATAAGATTATCTAGGACCTATGTTGGATGTGGAAAATGGGGAGGGATAGTGAGAAAAAATTTGCTAATAGCAGAACCTGATTACTGCAAAACAGATCAATCCAAATCCACAAGGAAAATGCTCCATAACCACAGAATTAGAGAGAGAGAGAGAGAGAGAGAGAGAGAGAGAGAGAGAGAGAGAAGATGCACACAAGAAAGTTAATAGGACTATTTTGGGTAATTAACCACAACACTAGTGTTCTAACAACCAATCATGCAATCGTGCAAATACTGTGCTTGTCAATACCATTACACATACAATCAAAATCAAATTACTAAAAGTATGTAAAATCTACCAGTTTGAAAGGAAATACTTATCAAAGCCAATAATATCTATTGTTTGAGAAATAAATTTTCTTACGTCTTTCATTGGCATTCGTAGTTTAAGGATTTCTGCATAGGTTCTGAGTAGATTGAAAGGAGCATGTATTTTTATAAACACAAGGCCATTGGAATGAGCTTCTTCTCGTTCCAATTGCAATCCTTCTAGCTCCAATTTGTCTTCAAATATCTTGAAAAAGAAGGAAGAGAAAATGTTAAATCTGTGAAAAACCGTTAAGGACTTCATAATAAATACCAACAGGAAGTTCAAGAACTTCAGTCTTACTCCTCTTTTTCGAATGGCTGTTTCTTCATTTGCTTTTTCATTTAGAGAGTCCCAAACCATCACAAAATCTATTGTTCTTTCTCCATCGTTGAAGTAAAGAGAAGATGAATGTCCATGGATGCAATCCTGTAAAAATAATAGAAAAAACATGATCATGCAAATTACACAGTCATGCTACTACCGGTAAATTAAGTGTAAGAAAGTTTTTGCTTACTGTCTCATCACTATTAAGCGGTGACATGTTCAAAACTTCTGCTCCATTCTTTACCACCTCCTCTTCAACTTGGAGTACTTTTTGATGAAAGTCAAAAATTGGATTAGTTCGGGGTCCATTTAACCGCCAGGCTTCTCCGTTCAGCTCTTGAGCACTAGCATAAACACTAGATGACGCTATATTAGGAGCACTATCAACATTGATAGGTGTTAGGGAGCTACTGTCTTGAAATAATGTTTCGTCCTCTTCCATTTTGGCTGTTTGCTTTGATATAGCTACGTTGGTGAGCAATGCCTGCAAAAAAATAAAAGAGGAAACAGCATGTCAACATTATAACATACACTGAGCACAGCCAAGGAACCCTTGCTACATTGCACAAATAGGTTCTGGGTGAAATTAAGTATTCATAACATTAAAAGCTACCCTGCAAATTAATTCACACAAGGCTAAAAGCATCTAACCTAACACACTAGATGACCTCACCAATTAAAATTAACTGGTACTCAACATCGCATATGTTTTTAGAACCTTAAATTAAGGAAATTGCCAGTCAAAAAGGAAATTGTGCTACAATTTCCCAAATTTGCCTCACAGTATTGGCGAATGTCACATGTCAACAGGTTCAAAGTAAACATTGAATACATTAAAAGTTCTTTAGGCGCGTTTAAAAAAGCCGACTTCTCTCTTACCTTAATCTAAATGGCCTTGAAGCTACACAAGTAGTCCACGGTCCATTATCATCGCAAAACAACTGAATATTACAGGAAATATTGTCCACATTATCCGTCAAAATAAAAATTAAAGGTGCTGGCAGACGAAAGGGCCCGTCTCGGAAGGAAGGGCACGGCCTTCACGAAGTTAAAGATTTCCAGGAATCCAGGAGGCAGGGGAAAGGGGG